ATATATATCAGCAAAATTTAAACATTAGCCAGAGACCTGAAGACTGTAGGAAACACTTTCTTAATCCATGCCAGACTAATAAGGGATTGTCCTCACTTCTTTAATGGATTGTACTTCTGGGGCCTATCATGGAAAATAGTTTTGTTTTGGAAACCTAATTTGTTGTACTGGATGATTTATGCTTAGTCACTGTTGACAGTGCTGACTAATGATGGCACGGTGTTTTCTGTCAGTAATTGTGAAAAATATTCTGATTCATAGCTTGCAGAAGAGAAGAGTTTTGTGTTCTACTACATGCAGTAAACACAATCTCATTGTATGTGCCATTAATGATCACGCATACAACCTATGAAATAACTCAAGCAGATGTTGGAGGCCCTATTCTGTGGCATCATGCACATGAAGAAAGAGCTGCTTGTTTGCAGTTTAAAGAGAATCAGCCAAGTGTGGTTCTCATTTTGCATGTGGGTACCTAGCAGTTGCTTGTATGCACTTCTCTGAAACAAGAAAGTGATCTGAGCAATGGAAAGGTGAGCTTACCCATTAGGAAAGGATCTGAAGAAAATGAGTAATATCTAACAGTTGGCATAATGCACATCTAGTCACAATTTTCAGACAAACACATATAAACTTTCCTTCAACTTTGGTTGAAGTTCCTTGAGAACTAGATGATACTGTGACTGATTTGCTGAAATCAGGAATTGATTCAGACTGTGCATCTTGAACAGTTGTCATAATGCACAGTAAATGTGTCTTTTTTTTCCTATCCTTGCTCAGAAAGCTGCTTAGAGATTAACATGTTCAGTTGTGGAATCGTGTCAGACAAATGTAGTTTCATGTCGGCACCCAGATGCAAGAATCACAAAGCAAATCTGAGCTGTTACGGAGCCTAATAGTATGCAAAGGAAATGACACTCTTATCTGACAAGCATTTTGTGTATTGAATTATGCCAAATGATTGTGTTTGTATAGCTAATCTGTTTATCCACAGCATGCTCATCACCGTGAGCATAAATTTAACCAAAATAAACTAAGTTAAATAGATTAGGATTTCTCAAAGGAAAATCCGAAAGCATTCTTACAAGTGGCACTTGACGTGGGTGCTATATATGATACTATTTAGGGAGCCAGCAAAAGTTAAGTTTCTCCAAGTACAGGGGTATTTGAGTGTGTGGATTGGCTAAAATCCCAGCACTAACTTTAGAAGAAGAGTTCTAATGATCTTCTGACCCAGTTAGAGTCATATGCTGTAATGTCACTTACTCTGGTAAACATGTCAGGAAGTTTGGGCTGATGATATAGAGCATAGCTGTGTTGGACAGCAGCTTAGCTCTGCTTGGATATCACTCATTGTGTTGAGTTGGAATAAACAGTCTTGTTGTGGCACTCTTCTTGGGATTAGTCTTTGATACATTCCATATTGAATGAAATTTAACTTCTGGGCAGAAGATAGCTAGTTAGTTGAACTCACTTTTGAATCAAATTGTACACAAGTATTCCTGTACACGCAAAATACCGTTGAAGAGCCTTATGTCTCCCATCTATTTAACTAACCTAATAAAACCTGCATGATTTATTAAGTTCTTGCTAGTACATTAACGATCGGTGGTTATTTCTTACCAAGTCAAAATGCATTGTGTTTCTCTGGCACCTTCTGTAATTTCATATTGATATTATGTCTTTTGGGAATTTGAGATTTTCAGTATTTGAAACCCTACAAGAGAGTGATGTTATTCCAAGCTTTGCTCACAGAATAAAATATGTCCACACAAGACACTGAGGCACTGTGTTCAGTCAATTAAGCAGATGTTCAAAACAGGATGTCTTCAGTCAATTGAGCAGCTGTTCAAAATATGCTATCTTGGGGTACGTCTGCTCTGCACACTTATTTTGAAATAAGCTATTCAAGAAGAAATACTCCAAAATAGCTTATTTCAAAATACCACATCTACATTACAGGGAAGCCTCAAAATGAGTCCGAAGCAGGCTTCCCTAATGTGGACATGCTACCTCGATTTAGAGCCGCAGGAATGACCCTGGGGAGGAGCTATGTCGAAATAGCAGCAGTGGAGTGTTCACACTACTGCTATTCCGAAATAGCTATTCTGGAATAGGTGCTATTCCTCGTGGAATGAGGTTACAGAAGTTGTAATAAGCCATCCATTATTTTGAATTCATTTCAGAATAACGGCATTGCTGTGTAGGCGCTCGCATTGTGATTCCGAAATAACGCTGCTGCGTGGACACACCCTTTGCCTCTTGGGTGTGGCTCCTCTTGATTGGGCTTTTAGGCCCTGCTGTCCTCTGCTACGCTCCCTGGACTTTGATTTTTCTTGATTAGGGGAAAAAATATGATGGTGCCTGCTGAAGTCTCCCCCACTCCCAAACCATAGGCCCCAAAGAGGTCCCTTAGAGTAGATTGTGGCAATCCTCCTCTCCCTTTTTCTGTGCTAGGACTAATGAAACATTTTAACTGTCTGCATTTCCATAATGACAGTAGTAATGGATGACACCCACTGAGATGAACTGGGATAGGTTGCATTTCCCAGCACTACAGTTTCAGGCTCTCTGCAAACTTAGGCAGGCATCACTGTATCTCTTAGGGTATGTCTACACTACAGCGCTAATTCGAACTAAGCTAATTCGAACTAACGCATCCAGACTAAAAAACTAGTTCGAATTAGCGTTTTGCTAATTCGAACTAGCATGTCCACATTAAGTGGACCCTGAACCGGGGTTAAGGATGGCCGGAAGCAGTGCCAGCAGGGCATCAGATGAGGACTTAGAGCGTGGAGCTGCTGTCTCAGGCTAGCCGAGGGCTGTGCTTAAAGGGACCCGACCCCCACCCCAGACAGACAGTTCTCAGGGGTGCCCAAGCCCATTACTCCTTGTCCTGTCCTCAGAAACCAAGAGGAACAAATTTTCTCCTTCCTCCTTGTGACACCCTTTTAGAACTGTTTATACAGTTCATGTTCTAATACTGCATATTTGCTCCACCACAGTTTAAAGTGTCTGTTTAAACTAGAATTTGTCTTCCATTTAGAAATTTAAAGCCCAGGGAGATTAATAAAGTAAGATTAATATTTCATCTTGCATTCAACTTGCAAGCAAATGTAACTACAATATTATCTTAAACAAAGCTACACAAAGTCAGTCCAGGGACCTCAGACAGCTTATACTTACTGGATTTAGTTGGTATTAATACATGTGGCTCTTATCACAGTGACAGCCAGGAAGCATGACCTCCTGACTCTGTTCTTGTTAATATCACAAGTTAACAGATAGCAAAGCAGAATAAAAGGTCAGGTCAGAGGTTTGTGGTAGTGCTGTGGAAAGGTGACAGCAAATAGTAACACATTGAGATTTGAAAGCCCAGCACCTCCAGCTGTTATAGTATGGCTAATATATCAAGAAGGTGTGGCCTCCCTGACCTAAAAATCCTCTGTATGCACACAGTCTGAAAATTAAATAACTTATGTAACACAAAGATATAGGGACAGGATGATCCAAATGCATTTTCAGCAGATCAAGCTCACTGCAGTGAGCTATCAGCCTTTTTTTCTACAATATTAAACTCCTTTCCAAGGCTCATTCATCCATCTGGCAGAGCAGTTTCCATTAACTGCTCTTGTTGCTACCTTAGCAAAGCTAACCCATCTCTTTGTGACATATAGACACAATTCTAAAATGGTTCCGCTGTGCATCCTCAATTCATTGTTGACTGTGAGAGTTAAGGGAAACTCACTAGTCTGTACCCTTATGCCACAGGAAAGGAGGGGCAGATGTTGACCTAAATACAAATGGCAGCCTAGGGTATGAAATGGATCACTGGACATTGAGAAAACCAGACCTCCAATCAGCGTAATGGGCCGACTAAAGTAGATTTTAACAGCCATGTCTACATTACAACTGTAGCTGGACTCCCTGATTGTTTAATTGATAAAGTTTACTCAAACTGTACACCTGGTACAAAGATATTCTAAACATTATTTTATGGCAGCCTTTAAAGGCTGCAGCTCTTTAGTAAGAGGTTTCAGCTTACTCCTGCTGATAGAAAGGGAGAATGAGAGCACAGTTAATGAATTCCATTTCCAACATGCTAACCTTCCAGGCATATGTAGGATGGAAGGGTCCATGCATCTTAGACCAATTGCATATGCCCTGCCAGATGGCAGATCTCTCTGGAAACTTCCATCTGGGTACAGTGTAGTTGAGGCACTTGGCTATCAGTCACTGGCAAGGCAAGGACTCTCTCTCTATGTAATGTGATGTGATGCCCGGTGCCATATGTGGTAGAGAAGATAGTCAAAGACTGTAGGGGAGTGGATGTGCTGAACAGCTGAAGAGAGGTTTTGCAGTCAGTCCCCAGGAGAGAAAGAAATGCTCCATAGCATTTCACTATCCACAGCATAGATATCACTATGACCACTTAAGCAATTTTTACTGAGTATAGTAAGAGCTAAATTCAAATTGTTAGAAGTGAATTGTTTTGACTTTAGCCAAATGGCAGCAGTACAAAATGTGGTAGAGTAGCCTCTTTTCCTCCAGACTTTCAAGCTTTCTTTTTTTTAAACAGGGTCTCTAACTGTTAGGCTGTGTTTAACTATATGGCTCCATCGATGGAGCCATGTAGATTAGACAGATAGGCAAAGGCAAATGAAGCCGCGATTTAAATGATCGCGGCTTCATTAAAATTTACATGGCTGCCGCGCTGAGCCGACAAACAGCTGATCAGCTGTTTGTCGGCTCAGCGCGGCAGCCATGTAAATTTTAATGAA